TCGATCATTCTGCATCTTCCTGCTGATAAATTGTGACACGAACTGTCATTGTTTGTATAAACTGACATTAGTTGTCAAATCTATCGGGGATTCATGTGACACCACTCAGATGAAACATCTCTTAAACAAGTACCATTTGCAAAGTTCTTTCTCCGTTTGCACAAAACTAGAAAGATGTCGGAGCCAATTAATGTGCATCTTTTTTATTTCATAAATTTCTTCATTGAAATCGTAGTCGTTGAATAAATGTTTGGTGGTGCACAAGAATAAGATTGCATAAGATTCATTCAGCAGGCTGCTTGGTTGGTTGCCGCACTCAGCAATATTCCAGCTATATGGCGGCGGACTGTGAATGATCGAGTCTGGGCCAGACAACCCAGTGATCAACAGCATGAGCATCGATATTCACAATTGGGATACGATGACATGTGTCAACCAAGTCAGCGAGCCTGGCCACCCGATCCCGTTGGTCGCCTCTTACCACAGGAATGGGTTGATGGAGACAAATTCTAACCCGGATCTTCACTGGTAAGTTCACCAGGTAAAATTAACGCGGTATATGATATTATTATTCTGACTTTAACGATTATTGGTTACAAAACGAACACTGCTTACATCAGCTTCCTATGTTGGATTCATTCGCATATACATACGCTAACTTGCCTTGGTCGGGTCTATGCAGGTAGCAAAAGTAATGTAAGTCCCCATTGTCCCTGGTATGGTGATCTACCTTCAGTTATTGGCGATTTATAGCCCATTTTTATACTGTATTGTTTTTCCCCTATAGTTAAAACGTTTTAGATTTAATTACTAGTTTTACATATATATCTGTGATATTCTAGTTGTTTTACTGTCCTTCGTCGGCAGGTTTTTTATAATATACATATATTTCATTTCAATATCAAATGTTCTCGTCACGATATGGCTGAAATATTGCCGGTGTGACGTTAAAAATTAACTCACTCACTCACTTGCCTTGGTCGTAGCAGAATGGACCATGGTCGTCTTAAAACACTGCATGTTTACGTTTGTGATAATATTTTCATTATCGCATGTGTCTGGAAGTTTAATCACAGGCTGATCTATTCATTTAAAGTGATTGTCGTCACATCAACTGTCTGCATACCGACACTGTAGACGTTGTAAATGTCAGACCTGACTTCATACATCCATTTTTCCTCACATCATTCCAACGCAAGGTACATGTTCGTTTGCTCGTCCACCCACATATTATTTACAAATGGTCTAAACATCGTATTAGTGGGTTCAATCTTTCCGAAAACCTTGTGACGGGTAAACATCTAGCTGCATCTCCTCCAGAGCAGATGCATTCTCTTTTGGCGGATTTACTGATTCAAGGATTAGGATTTACATGAAGCGTTACTTAACGATATGAAACGATATGTTTGAACATATCACTACCATCAACATCTTGTGATAAATACTGATGGTTTGTTGTAAAGGGTGTCCGACTACACATTTTCATGTACGCGCCAACTGACCTTTATATCTATCATCAATATGCTGTATTTGTTCTATCCATGCATTATTGAAACTAGATTGACCTTTAAAGTCGTATTCTTTCTCGGCTTTAGGCATTGAACTTCACAAGCATAAAGAGAAATTTGACATTATTGTTGATTATGTCTGAGTAGGTTTATATAAATAATTTGTGCAGCTGATCCGAAGGTAGAGTTGATCTATTATTTATATATCCCCTCCCACAGGGCATAGCGAATGAATGCCAAACATTATAGATGAACGGAATCCATGTCTTCATAACATTTGATCTCCGTTGAATGAAAGTAAAATGAAGTTAGAGAACTGCTAATCGCTCAAACGCCAGAACAACTAGAAAATAATGGAATTTAAATGACGGGTATGCATTAAGCTCACAGAGCATGGCCAATAGGATATGACTCGGGATAATCAAACATGCTTTACTTTCTAAGTTAAATACTATCGTATATGTACCGGAATGCCTCCAAGGTTTAATATATTAAAGGTAGTGAAGGAATTCTTAGCTAATAATGAAAAATGTAATCGAATTTAGAGCGGTCTGGAGATGGGGAACAAACTTTTAACCCGTGTCAAAGTGTTGTCTTTTCATCCCGGAAAAAGTTGTAACATGGCGTTTCATCAACTCACTTTGCCAGTAATTGCGTGATGCTTACTTAACGGGGATTGCAGTCGCATCAAAGAGGAGATGCAAATTTGATATTGATATACAACTCTCAAACGGGTCGAATGTTGGAGCTTAACGACATCTTTCTCATGTTGCATAAGCATGGACACGATTTGGCGTTTAGTCTCGACACCGCGAAAATACATCCGTGATACTTCAGACCTTTGAGTAAACATATTGTATGAATGAGCTGCTGCTGTCAAGGAATTTAATCCCTCATTTGGCCTGTAGTCATGATGTGATATAAATGTGATCTGCTGATTCGGGTTTCTGAAATAACGATTTTACTTTTCTAATTTAAAATAGTTCGTTTTACAACGTCAGAAAAGTAGGAATAGAAACGTATATACACATAACGTATTACTGGCGTCTGTACATTATATCTGTCTGATCTGTGGTATACACATAACGTATTACTGGCGGCTGTACATTATATCTGTCTGATCTGTGGTATACACATAACGTATTACTGGCGTCTGTACATTATATCTGTCTGATCTGTGGTATACACATAACGTATTACTGGCGTCTGTACATTATATCTGTCTGATCTGTGGTATACACATAACGTATTACGGCGGCTGTACATTATATCTGTCTGATCTGTGGTATACATAACGCGGCGTCTGTACATTATATCTGTCTGATCTGTGGTATACACTGTACATTATATCTGTCTGATCTGTGGTATACGATATAACGTATTATATCTGGCGGCTGTACATTATTATATCTGTCTGATCTGTGGTATACACATAACGTATTCTGGCGGCTGTACATTATATCTGTCTGATCTGTGGTATACACATAACGTATTCTGGCGGCTGTACATTATATCTGTCTGATCTGTGGTATACACATAACGTATTTCTGGCGGCTGTACATTATGTCTGTCTGATCTGTGGTATACACATAACGTATTCTGGCGGCTGTACATTATATCTGTCTGATCTGTGGTATACACATAACGTATTACTGGCGTCTGTACATTATATCTGTCTGATCTGTGGTATACACATAACGTATTCTGGCGGCTGTACATTATATCTGTCTGATCTGTGGTATACACATAACGTATTACTGGCGTCTGTACATTATATCTGTCTGATCTGTGGTATACACATAACGTATTCTGGCGGCTGTACATTATATCTGTCTGATCTGTGGTTTGGTTGTTTTTTGGTTGAAGCATCGTGCGGGCATTGATGTTCTGATTGAGGATGGAAAATGAGTGAGAGTGAGCTTTTAGCAGTACTCGAGCAATATCACGGCTGGGGGACACCAAAAACGGGCTTCTATTGCATCCATGTGGAACCGGTGCTTTTGTCGTGTCGAGAAGACTCAGTATCTCCCAAGTGTAGACTTGGGCACATTCTAACATTCTTCCTGCATGCAAAGTTGTGAGAGATTACATCAAATCAACATTCAGATTTCATTCAAAAGCTAATATAATCGTTTTCGAAGTGTTCAAAATTAATATTCTTCAAAACTGCACACTAAGTCATATTTAAAGGATAGGTTCGTAAAAGATATTTTTAAAACATTTGCTTGGCCTTTTGATGTTTAACGCCGCACACAGGATTATTCTAGCGTTATAATGTGACTGTAAATAATCGAGACTGGACCAAACAATCCAATGGTTGACATTGTGAGCATCGACCTATGCAACTGGAACATGATGTCATGCATCAACCACGTCAGTGGGCCTGACCACCCGATCTTGTATGTCGCCTCTTGAGTTTCTGATCCAAATTCTAATTCAGCCCTCCTTGATTAACTGAAAAGAATGGACGACAAGAGATGTACCAGAATGTCAAGTATTTTCACTCCTGTAGATAAAGGTGAAGTTGATGAACTTGTAAGTACGGTTTAACACATTTCCAGTTATTCGGAAAGACAACACAATATCCAGTTCAATGTTCATGTTTTATTCCAATTCGACAACGTTCCTTCCTCAGAACAGACAACAAAAACAACACACGATTCAAGTAAGCTTAAATGTGACGGTTAAACCAGTAATAAGATTTAAAATTAACAAAACAGTTCACAGATCCACCAGTTACCACCAACGTCACTTTTAGCGATGAAAATAACACTTCCAAAACAATTTCGATTAATAACTCTAACACTCGTAACATAATGGAAGATGAATCGATAACATACGCTGTGTAAGGTGTGTCCGATATTGCCACTTTCATATATATGTCGTACACAGCTGCACATAAATTACACTGCTCGTGATATAGTTACTGTCGCAGTGGGTATTAATGCAAGTAATATCACTCTGATATATACATCAACTATTATTGTAGTGTTTAAGCAAATAACGTTATTTACACTGTAACACTTCCTAAACTGGTTCTCAGCGCTACCCTCGATGTTTCAGGTGTAGAAGCATTCTTACTAAGATTAAGCACACGAACCTCGAGACTGAAATATCGCTCAGGCTCCGATTTCTCGAAAAAATTAAGTTTTTACTCAAATTTCAAACTGAGTTTGACAATTTGAAACAGCATTTTTTTAAATAAAAAAGCCCAAACAACTTAAGTAGCCTATCTACCCAACTCAAATTGTCAACTATGTTTGAGTGTAATATCGATTTCAGTTCATTCTGGGAAATACATTTTCCTGCTTTTTCTCAAATTTGAATAAAATCTCTTGCTTAAGTCAAAACTCAGACTTAAGTTTGTTTCGAGAAATCGGGGCCAGATCACATTGCAGGCAGTGAAATAAGATACGCATTTGTATTACAGTACAAGACCGAAATGCAAAACAACACTTTTACCACTTAGATTTGTTTCTAGTAGTTTATATGACATTATATCGTTGTTGGATTAAGATATACTTGTGCCAAGAGTGTCTATGTTGAATGAGTAGGAGACGTGAATCTTTTGACGCTCACATCAGGGTATTCGTGTCCAAATATGTATCTACCTTGGCGTGTGTCTACATCACGGTTACACGAAGCTGATGTAAGATACACACGTCAATGGCAGGTGTATTCGCTATGTGTGATCTGGTGTGACATAATGGAAATATGTTATCAAGGTTGTGTTCATTCACCGGTATGCCTCACCCTAAATGTTAGAGCTGAACGCTAGGATCTTCTTGTTTCTGGTTAGTTGCGAGAAATTGATACCAATAGGAATACGCTTTCTAAGTGGTACATGAAGTAGATAGGGAGTGTGGGTGTGCTTAAAGCCATCCTGTCAGTAAACTAGTGGCACGTTAACGTAGTAGCGGAGGGAAGATCAACGCTCGTAACTGTTTACCACTTTGGTGAACTATAGTCAAGACAAGGGGACGTGGGGAGGTAGGGGTTGAGAGATGGCACGATACAAGACGTTTACACAAGAGCAGGTGTCAATGGATGAACAGTGGATAAATATTGATCTAACATTGTAACATTATAACGATGCACGTCTGCATTGCATTTTAAATTCCACTTTGTTATCACCATAATAATGATAGAAATATCTTACAGGAAATATTTTGTATGTACAGGTTGAGCACGGCGGTTACAGTATGACGGGTTCAAATATTGATATGTGTCATATGGCATAGCAAAATATAGTGTCTTACTCATTAATACGGCGTCATACAGGTATGAAAATAATTACAGCATATATATGGTATAACACTGAAATCTATTAAATAATATACCATAATTCATGTGGTAAGCCGTTGTGAATATTGTAGAAATATATGTACACGTGAACAACAGCACATTGACACATGCATATACATATTCGTAAGTATATGTTCATGATATTTGGAACACCGAGATACTTGTGTCAAAATGAATACAGATCAACATTAGACAGTTACATGATCAGATAATGGTTACAATACATACAATTTATCACAGGTATCAGGAAGTTGTCATTTTGTACAATGGGAAGGATAAAATACAAAGGAAGATATATTCAAAGCATTGATAGGATTTGTGTAAATGTACCACTTTGATCTTATAGTGGACTTGGAGACACTGGCAAATATTGACAAAACATGCATCACTTTTGTCCTACGGTCACGGAGGAACACCATGCCTACAGGTATGACACGTGGTCACATACTACTGTCTTAACTGACGTAACATTTCATTTGACGCATCGACCTTCTCCCATATACCGTTACATTTTTTAGAGCATGTAACACAAGATACATAAGCAATAATTTTGCAAATATAGTTTCACGAAAAATGATAAATTCTTTTACAACACTTCTTTATGTCTTAACGATGTACAAAATGTCAACACATATTTACTATTGTAGAATATTACCACTAGGTTCACCGATACAAATGAAAATATTGTATTTTGTAGTCATTCTCACTGAGCATTCTGTATTTCGATGAGCATATTAATTATTATCAGATCCAATGATCGCTTTGCAGAATACAAATTGACCTTCATAGAGCTTCGTATTTTTGTTCCTCTTCTTGGTTTGTTTTCCTTGTTTACAGAGAGGCCCATGGATAATGCCTCTACCTGAGACCAAGAAACCTATATGTTTCTACCTTTCACATACAGTATACAATGGTTGATACAAAGAAATAAGTACGATCTACACGGACCTACAGATTATCCGACTCTTGTAAAGCAATACTGAACATGTTCCCTCAGGCTCAGAACTTAAATTCCAGATATACCCATATTTCCTGGTATATGATAGTTAAAACGGCAATGAAAAGAATCACCAGTCATGACTATCATCAGACACAAATTCCATTGGGCGTAAAGTCATCCCCTGCTAATCCTACCGGTTTTGAATTGGCATCGAAATTATTACTTTCTTCATGTGGTGTAGTATATATATATTAGGATTATGCATGTAACATAGTCGGCCATATCACCATTATACACCACGGTAAAATGTGTATTTTATACATACATAGAGATACATAAGGTGATTTTAAATCGATACCCCTCCCGATAGTGTAAGAAATGAAATTGGGCAAGGTGTGAGTTATAGTTGTCCTCTTGCTAAAGTTGAAACCTGTAAAACATTGTATCCACCTTCTTTTAACGAGGTGTCAGAAATTGATGGATGTGTGTTAAGGATTAACTGACAATTGTCAGTACTATGGGAAGGTAACAGTAACTCTGTGACGTAAAGTTGGTATCAGAAGACCAACATAAAACAGCCACCTGTAATAGAAAGTTACGGCATTGCACACTTTATGGTTATTGTCCTTTAACTTTCTTTTACATAAGAAAATGTTGAGTATCTTCAATGATGGAGCATATGCAATAATTGCATTGACCTTCTTATCGTAATTGCCATACAAGTACATGCAGAGATCAACCGAGACATAACATCGTTGCTCTGATGAATTACATTTTTTCGAAGCTACTGATCTGATAATTACTGATAATTACTTTGTTTGGAAAAGTTACGTAATCATAAATGAGTGATGAGTGTTGAAATGAATGTCAGATTAGCCTTAAAACACATTCACCATATACAGTATGAGAACTCCGACCAGCGGTAAAAACCTGCTATCATTTAAGCATATTCCAGTACATGTATTTTTGTGACTGCCCTATAGTGTACTGTTTGCACACAAGACGTCCTCTTTTCGAGGAAGCTGTCATCTAGTTCGTTGTTGAAGTAACGTATACTTTTCCCATCTGTACCGCTTTGGCAATACAAGAGGATTATGCAGTAACATATTATTCGGTTTCTATTCGTGTTACACTTTGTCACGGACATTACGAGATAAAAGGAAATCTTACATCTTACACCTTGAAATATTTCAAAGTTAATGTTCATAACACAACTGTGATACCTGTCAATGATGATACCATCAATTTCATCATGATCATCATTCAATAAACAATTTCGTGTTTCATTTTAGCCATAGTCACATCCATCCGTGTGGCAGTTTATAATCATGTTTGAGTAATAGTCAGTAAATAAATACCAATTTAAAATGTTTACAACATGTAATAATATACAGTACCACCAGTCCTCGTTAACTCGAACGCCTCTATTTCGAAATATCATTGAAGATGGCGCAAATCATTGATTGCAGAATCATTATCGGATTATCTAATATCAGCATTCCGCATTTCTCCAGTGTAACGAGGGACTTAGTTTTAACGAGGTTCATCTGTTGTGTCCAGAAATCCGCGCTCGGTCACATTATCCACGGCACCACCAACCACAAACGAACACACACATTTTGGCCGATGTAATTACTTCGGTCTAATCTCTGGGTTGTTCAGGGTCTAAACTGACCATCTCAAAACCTTTGAAACACGTGTCATCGACATTGTCAGTAAGCCATGGACGCTCAAAAGTTAGTTGTGAACGTGGTTGTACACGTCTCGGACATGAGGTGGCCATTACTGGATACCATGGAATATTTCTCGCCATTGTGCTTTCTCGAAATTGAATCCTGAAAGGCACGAAAACGCCCGCAACACGTTAACATATACAACACCTCTTTCCTGAAGTGTTTTCCAGTGAGACAGTATATAGCAAAATACAGAGCGTAATGCGACAGACACAAACACTCGATTATTTTACGACTTTCCAGATAGCTGAACATTTTACTCCACGTTGGGTCTTCTCGAATTTGGTCGTCCGTCATGATGATATGGCCGTGCGGGAAGAGCGTCTGCAAGCACACCACTATGGTTGCAGTAAGTTGGGTAATGATTAAGAAGAATGACACTGAGAGAAGAGTCACTGTTGAAGCTGTTGTGCTTGCACTTCCACTTTGACGAGAAACCACACCATTTTTGGCTAATTTACAAATTTCTTTTAAAACAAGGGCGTTAAAACACAACACAATCAGTGGAATTGCTCCAAATATCAGCAGTTCGGAAACCCAACTCCAAATGTTCACAAAGCTGGAGTCCTGACCTTCTATAGCAGCTTCTCGGTAGTTGCAAGCGCCATGTTCGGGAGCATATGTCCAAATGTATATCTGAGCCGACGCTACAGCCGCAGAGAAAAATAACAGAACACAAACTATGCCACAAGCACGCCTGACAGTGCACCACTTCTCCTTTTGAAAAGGATGACACACGGCTACATACCTCTCAACTGTAAATCCAAGAACCAAGAGAGTGCTCAGGTACTGTGGGGTGTAATAAAAGAACATGAAGATCGCACACGAGGCTGCGGATGTGTTATACGTCCGATAGCCCCACGCTACGTGGAGAGTGTACAGCAGATGCAGAAACAAGAATATTAAGTCCGAGATAGATAGTGCTCCAAGGTAGATAGCTGATGAGTTGTTTCGCCTCATACGACGTCCAAGCCATATCACCGCAGAGGCTGGATTACACACAAAGCCAATAGCGTACCACAAAGGGGGGATAAACTTTTCTGACAATGGCCCAAGAGGGGCGAAGGTTTCAAGAAGTTCAGCAGTACTGTATCTGTGGAACACTATGCTTCCGAACTCCGCCGGGGAATCTGTTGTGTTGTTACTCATCTCCTGAAACAATTAAGGATATATTATTATGAATTCATGTTGTTCCTAGGTTCACAAAAAATCAATACTCTTCTGGTAATCTGAAAAGACATTTGTCCTCTAAGTCATGATTATATTCCTACCAATAAAATACCATCATATATGTCAGGTCTGCTGTAGTTACAAGATTATGGAGTATTTCATGCCAGGTGAAACACTTTAAATCTGTACCAATAAGGTGATCTACCTTCAGTTGTTGGCAATATGTAGCCTGTTTTTATATTGTATTGTCTTCTATAGTTAAAAGGTTTTAGTTTTTCATACTAGTTTTATATCTATATCTGTGATGCTCTAGTTATTTTACTGTCCTTCGTTGACATGGTTTTATAATTTGACTTTATGAATTACGGCTTTAATTCTTATTCTACTCCTCGTCTCGATATGGCTGCAACATTGCTGATGTGACTTTAAATTTAACTCACTCACTCACTCACTCACTTTAAAGCTGTAATACCAGTGAACGATAACTAGCATTCCTAAATGTAAGAAAGCTGTTCGTAATTCCACTATGACATTATAGAATCCTGGATTTTGATAGGCCCCTCAGAGCTATAATGCTTTCCAATGAATGTCCAGGTATCACTCCGCAGTGCAATCGCGTCATCAGATGGCGGTTGGCAGGAGGTCCATGGCAACCAAATATCAATTAGATAGAGAAAGTAGTGAATTCAATATTCAAGTAGAAATTCCGAAACTAGAAAATATATCTTGCTGAAGAAGGATAGTATTTTTAACATCCCATATGCGTGTATTTTATATGTTACATCATATAGATTTATGACACATATGCGTAAACCCTATTTCATTTTTTAAAAGAAGCTCTTTGTATTTTAAAAGAAAATCAGTGACGAACTCAGGATGTTATTTATTAATAAATAATGAACAAAATGAATGTATCACACCTCAAGAATACCAACGTAAAAACACACCAGTATTGTAGCCAGGACAAAAATCTACAAGGAGAAAGAAGACTTATTGTTTCTGTAATGAGATCCATTTTCTATTTCACAAGCAGATAATACCCTTAATCTGCCCTTTGAAGTGCTATTTGTGAAATGCCATTTTGCTCTTTACAAATTAAACACGATCTGTATTCGTCCCATACATATATATTTCACTCGTAAGAACATATAGTCTACAGGTGTGCGATCGAGACGTGGAGACTGGTGTCGGATGGAACAGTCCGTCCACGTGTAGGTAAGGTACGTACACTGACATGGTACAGACACGACTTGACACCAGTCTTCTCCAGACAACAAATCTCGCACAGACAAGACAACTAATTGGACGACTCTGATATATGTACCAACTGAGGTGTATAATTGGAGTTTAGAATAACTCATGGCTGCAAAATGCCTTTCGTTTCTGAAAGGTCTGATGAGAAAAGTAGAAAATTGCTTTTGATGATAGTGCGGAAGAGTAGGTAATTAGTGATTCTCACTGAGGAAATCCATTATACGATATGTTATCCTGTCGTGGATATATTCTGGCAGATATCGATATTGTGTGTATGCTTAGCTTTTGTTTGCATGCAAATCTCAGCTTTGACGGCAGCCAATGCGTAAGCATGTCTGTAAACAAACTAGTGACAGATACTCCGAGCAAAGATCCACGAAACAAGCGTGGGCTGAAGTACTGGATCTAATCACGGACTGGATCCGTTAAGGCACCTTTCAAAACAAGACTTCGGCTTCGTGTATGGTTTTACGCCGCGTTTAGCATTATGCCACCTATAACACGGCGGGGGACACCAGAAATGGACTACACACAATGTACCCATGGGGGCATCGAACCCGGATCTTGGGCGTGACGAGCTAACGCTTTAACCACAAGGCTACCCCACCTCCTCTTTTACGACAAGAACAGACTGCTAGACCAATTCTAACCAGGCAGCACGCACTTCCAGTATCCCACAATGCCGTTTCCCACGTGTAATTTAATAACTGTAATAAATAATGGAATATGTTTTAGTCATTAATATAAGTGCAACAATAACCATGCAGCTTAAATATAACTGACTTTTAACCATATTACGAAGTTATAAAAAGGTTATTTCATTCATTCCAACTTATTTATGGTTTATATTTTTGGTACTTCCCGTAAATGGTCACAAACTCATATTTCAAACTCGCATTACGTCTATCTGAGTCTGACCACCTCCACAAACATTATATTTGGAACAGGAAATCAAAACCTTGCCAACGTACCAAAGAAGACATAATTTGAAAACAAAATATATATATCCAGAGAAGTTCTAATACGATTACTGGTGGGCATGTGTTAAGCTTACAAGGCCATTATGCTATTATCTCTCCCAAGAGAATAAGCCAGGTATTTGTGTGACTCGTGATTTCGTCGACCAAGGTGACCAACGGTCAGACAGACAATGCTTTCAGACAGAGGACATGTGACGCGTGGCCCTGCCGGACATACTGCTGCCCACAAGGTGCCAAAGGAAAGTCGTATGAAGGACCCTGAGGTCGGGAGTTGTGACGGGAAGTCTATTCTAGATTTCGCTTCTCCCTAGGGTGCGTCCTCGTCATATTTCTCAGTGAATATGATGCCGTCCTTTTCCCCTTATTAAATAATACAGAAAGCAAACGCTCGCATAGATCCTGAATGTTGGACAATGCCATAATGAAATCTTGCGTCTAGGTTATCTTGCTTTTCTTGCAGTCGAATGTAAAGTTCACTTCACCATTACTCAAGGGTAATGTGTAACCATTAAATGTACGGTATCTGCTGATGTAATGTACAAATGATGATAGGGTGTCTAAATCTACTTACTTGCATCCCTGCGTTATCGATGCATTAATTCAATCAAGGATATATAGATGCGTGGCCGTTGAAACGTTGGCATTCAATTACATCCTTTAGAATCAACCTTTTGTGTTTAGAGAAGGGAACTATTGTTTGAAGTGCACGCTTAGCAGTGGGATTTGCTTGTCCAAAATGCTGCATTACACCGTCAGTGAAATGTAAATGAGTTTAACTCGTCTTTGAACAATATTTTTGTAATACGACGATGTGTCAGATAACTTAATCTGGGAGGATATCACCATGTGACGCAGGGTATACTGCATGGAAGGGAACCTTATACATAAAATATGAATTATATTATAGTTTATTATATTGCTAGTATAAGTGTGCTACGGCTGCATTCGCATCATATTTCTATCATTATCCGATGTTTCATTTGGAATCCGATGTAGTGCTAATTAGCCACCATGTAAACTGGCCGTAGAAGGCGACTTTGATTTTAGGCTCGTTGACTGCACATAATACCAGTCACTTGTTTGTCTGGTCTCCACTTACTTGAGTATACAGCGCATTGATATAGGCGACATATATACAATTACTATCTTAAACCACGTAAGGAAACTTGACGAGTCTGTACATGACCGCTAACATAGATTTGAACCTCATACTATTGAAACAGAAATTCATTAATGTGCTTGTGGATTTTACACGGTTATCATCATACCAAACAATCATCTGTTGTAATTCGTCGGTAGTTCAGGCATATGTGAAACCTTTTTAACAGTCCGGTTCGTTTTTCGTCATGACATCTTACTTAAATATTAACATTTGAATACCATCCGTTATGTGACACTTGTTACTCCCTCGAGATGAAACGACATTGTTGAGGAGCCTATGTACTCTACAGGGGAAGGATGACTGACAAACAGATTATGCAGCACAGACCAACTGTCGTCACATTTCTGGTGCAAGCTGGGTGTATGAGGCTCTTTGATTTCGTCACACAAGGAGAACAATGGCAAAACAGACCATAATATCAGATTCTGGACATTTGGCCAGTGGCACGGCTTCAGCTGAAGCTGCATATATTTTGCAACAACCTTTGGTGAAATGCGCCAAAACAGCTACAGTTGTTATATATCAAAGATCAAAACTAAAGGATGTGACTCATTCAATGACGACTGTCATACGTGACCAACCTGCTTTGCTGGTGTGCCCTTTACAACATACTTCATCAGTTTGTTGGGATATTTAAAACCAGATAATCTTTTGCATTGTCGTATTCTATTTTACAAAATGCACAATCCCGAAATTGCATTGTAGAATAGGAATGCATATTAGTCTTTCCCAGGCCTGCAACATTCGAGCTATACCATCGAAACCTGTTTATTTGAGCATTATGACATACAATTAACCAGATCGCGTGTTGTTACAATATGATCTTCCATCGGAAATTATTTGTTGACAAAGATGGGGAACTGGAGTTTCTTTATACCCAAATATAAACCAAGGGACTTTATTTGTAAGCCAAATTTTGTAAAGAAATAAATAATGAATCTGATTTATTTTATTTTATGTATAATGGTTTGGATAATGTTATTTTTACTTATTTTTGCGGCAGGTGTTGTATTTATGTGAGAATTCAAAATATTTCGTCAGCTAAATTGGAAATCTTTTGAAGTTATTTATGACACAGACAATTAAGGCACAAATGGACACCAGGAAAATTATCGGAACCATTCACTTCTATGCAAGCGCCAGTTAAGAAGGTTGCAACGATGACACAATAACAAATTGGAACTAAAAGAATGGTTCAGAAAGTAAGAAGCCATTGCGATTGTGACGTCTACGAACATCAAAGCAATATGTACAACGGTAGGCTCCAAATGCACACACCATTACAAATATATCTTGGAAGGCACAGACGAAAAAAGAAACTTTTAGGATATCAATTAGTACCTCATGGATAGAAAAAAATACCCGCTGGAATCTTTCTGTCCTGTTTTTGTACTATATGTGGTTTCGTAACGGATCTCGCTCGTGGTAAAATAAATATTATTTGCTTCTCTGACGGTGGGGCGGATCATGTTGAAACCTTGCCGGAAGGAACAAGACTTTGCGAGGGTTTACCATTTCGGACATACACCATGAGCATAGGCTAACCTTTCTGAACATCTCATAGCCGCATTACCAGCTGTCGGTGA